GTCGAAATAGCAGGCCTTATTTAAAATATATATATATAATCTCTTGTGGGATTGGAATTTTTCCATTGTTCTTCCTTAGTGCTTCTGAGCAATATTTTTAGCTTTTTTGTAGAGTTATATCTATTTAGGCTACACAAAGAAGAAACTTTCTATAAATGTGTTTTTAGATCCAAGGCAAAATCTTTTCTCAGGGGGACAAGTAAAGCCTGTACATGCTGCTGTAAAATTTTTCCTGTAGCTTAAAGGGGGGCTGTCCTACAAAACTGACCAAACTAAAAAGCAAAGGTGACTTTCTAAGTAATAAGGAGCTTCTTTTCCTACCTTCTGTAGGAAATGCCACTTGCCCTTCATGGAACTTCCTTTTTCTTTCTTTTTTTTTTTTTTTTTTTTTTAAGGTCATTGTCTTACTGACTACTAGAAAAGGAATTAGGGAGAGAAAGTGGGAAAGAAGGAAAGAAGAGAAGATGGGCAAAGTTTGAGTCATCTCACTTTAAGCCCGTGAAAAATGATGGAATATTGCAGACAATCTTGTAGCTTTTTAAGAAGCTATGTTTCAAACAGTATCTGCTTTGTCCCAAGGCTAAGTACTTAAAAAGATCTTAAGTAGCTGATGAATACAAAAAGATGTTGGGAAAGAGGGTAAACATCATTTATGTCCTGCTTGCCCACTCTTCTCAGTACTTGCATTTAAACCGTGCTCTGTGGGTTTGTTACTCTGCCTAGGAAAAGCATTGCCTTAGACTTCTGTTCAAAGACAGCTACAAGGAATGGCTTGTTCAGTGTTACTTCCAGAAACACCAGATCTTCCTTTTGTGTTGTAGGGTCTTCTGGTTGATCTGCTCCATCACTGCTGAGTTTGAAAAGGGCTTTATTTATTACCTGTAAGGCAAATGTGTGAGTGAGTCTATAGGCATCAAGGCACACCAATGAAGTCATGGATGAAAGTATCATTAAATGAAAAAACACAAAACCTAGATCAGCTGCAACCACACATAAGATACAATTGGTGGATGTTTTTATAAAAATCTTGAGGGACTTGTTCCAGAACACAAGAAACCGCTCTACAACTGCTCATGCACTTGGGCTGCATGAAATCACAGTAAACTTGAAGGCCCTGTCAGAGCTTCCAAGGTAGGATGCCTGTTAAAAGCTAGCAAAGTGAAGGCACTGAAATCATTGCTTTAGAAGATAATTATTCTTCTTTTTGTGAAAGTCAGTCTCCTCCTCCGAGTTTCCCCTTATTGCTTCTGTGGCTGAATGCTTAAGCTTATCTTCAGATGAGGCAGTGTGCTGCCCTTATTTCTGTATCTGCTGTCTCTGGGAAGAGGCCCAAAGTGATCTGCATTATACTGAACAGCTCAACAAATGCAGCCTGCCAGCTCCTCCCCCCTCCAGTGTGTTGTGAATTGCTTGAGCTGTTTGTAACGAAGGCCATCTAGTTTGTTTGTACAGAACCTAGCACACAGAGACCTCAGTCTTCACGATTGCATTGCAAGTTACGTTGTCTGGAGTGATGGAATTTGGAGAGTTGAAGGCAAACCTGTTTCTGCTGACAGGTTGCTCTAAAAAGTGATTGCTACTGTTCAATCATTTTGAAAGCCTTACATTGTTCCATGTTCCATATAGCTCTTACTGTTTGGATTTAGGTAAAGTTGTACAGCTAAAGAGACTAAAATTGAGCTTTTTTTTTTTTTTTTTTTACAGGTTAGTCACAGGTACTGTACCTTTCCAACGGTTAGATTGGCATTACTTATTTTACTGAGATCTGCTTCCTTCCCCAGCAATGCGGACAGTTTCATATCTCTGAGAAGTTCCTGAAGATCAGAGCTGCCTTCTATTGTTAACTCTGGTAAAGTTAATTTAATTTGTCTGAAGGGAGAGAGAAAGAGAGAGAAATGGGTGAGTATTCACTGGTCTAAATTGTGGTGGCTGGGCTGGGCATCACTCCTGCTGAGCGAGCACCTAAATAGCCTAAGGAAGAGGAGCTCCAGGTGAGAACTGAGATGACTGCCTGGTGCATGTGGACTTTGTGTCCCTCTTTCAGTGTGGGAAATCACCATAAGTCTGTGTGTGGGTACACCATTAACTCCAAAATAATCCCCTCTGATTATAGGGCCTCACTTGTCAGCAGTAGAAACATACTTGATGCTTACCCTGAAATACCAGCAGATAAAACGCTGATGCTACTACAGTGAAGCTCTACTGGGGTGAAATTGTCAAAATCAGAATTGGAGGTTGCCACATGCTAAGAAAGGACCAACAAGGATCCGAGACTGTGACTTGGCAGTTACCCAGGGTAGCTGGAAGATGGAGCTTTCCGAAGAGCTTTCCTTGTGCGCCTGAACGTGGGCTGGGCCGGGGAAGGGGAAGCCTGCGGAAAGTTCTCCACTGGTGTTAGGGCATCCCTGGGTTCTCCGTGTGCTTGTGCTAGGCATCATGCTCTCCTTGGGGCAGGGTCTGGCTATCGCCAAAGAGCAAGAACCGGGCAGGCTTGGATCTACCCTGTTTGAGTCGTTCCTCTAGGAGCCCCTTCGTGTGTCTGAACTGTACCTTGGTGACAAATCCTGAAGCCAGGCAGAGAGTTGCAGAGGAAGCTCCGCTTCTACCTTGTCCAGGTCGTTGCCGTCAAGGGGCTGTATCAGCACCAGCAGAGCGTTTTTGCTGATGGGAACTTCAATGGCAGCGAATGTTTTGCTGGTGTCAGTTTTGTACTTGAATGTGCCCATCACTGACATCCCAGGCACCAAGACCTTTGTGTTCGTGTCAACCCAGAATTCATGAGGCTCGCTCAGCCGCGAGGCTTTCTTCACAGTGACTGAAAAACAGATGGAGAAGCAGCATTTGATTCTCCTATCTTTCTTTTCCCTCCCCTGCCCATAACAGATACATATGTTTGTTCAACACAATGGGCATTAGGCAAAGTTTGTGTATGTAAAATCATGTTTAGCTACCTTAAACATACATATCCTGCCTTTTAAGTATCCTGTGATGGCATCCGGTAGAGGTTGACACAAGGACCAAACAAGCATTGGACTGCTACCAGAGCTGCTGTATTTCCAGCAGCCTTGTGCCCTTTCCTAGACCTGGTATTTCTGCTTGCTCATTTGTCTGTCCTCAACACTACCAAATGTGTCCTGGTTTCTTTCTGGGCCTGCAGGGAGGGTCTGTTTGGCTCTCCACAGCCAGCGCCACAGGGACAGCCCTTGCTGCAGGGATGCCCTTCGGCGGGAGGAAGGCTATAGCAAGCTCTCCTCTGAGCCCTGCCTCAGCTCGTCTATGGGGCCAAGGAACATTTTGTCAAATGCATTAGAGCCAGGAAAAAAAGTAAAGGAAAGAAAGATACGTAAAGGAAATAAAAATCACGGAAGCAGTCAGTGCTTCCATTTGGTTAACTCTAATAAAAAAGGCAAAAAGCACCCCACCATGTTTCAGGTTAAAAATGGAGTTTTTCAAGGTTATATTCACTTAAAGAAAAACCTAAAGGGAATTAAGGTTCTGCTATATCATCCATTTCCATTTGCTCATTTGTAATTATTTTGCAACTTTTGCAAAATTCACATCATTTTGCAAACAAAAAAGAGGAAATCTGCTTCTTTAATAGCAATAATATTTCATGAGCATTAGATTTTTAAATGTAGTCCTTGCTTAGCATCCAATTTGCAAATATGACTGTATGTGCAAGAGAACAGCAAGGCAATTGTAATATTTAATCTTTGGTTTTGTTGGTTTCTTTAATCAATCCTATGGCTATTGATAATATCTTATATGCATATGTAATGTGTTCCAGAGCAATGATTTTTCTTCCTTTCTGGAGTTAAAGGAGCAGGATGTGGAAATGCAGCCACCATCTCTCATAGATGCCCCTCCATAACCAAATAGCAAAGCAAATGCAAAGTCCATCTACAGCATTCATTAAAAATAGTTGTTTATCTATTTCATTCATTCTTGAGCCAATTTTTTTCCAGCTTACACATGGACAATGCATCTCAGTGGGTATCCTCTAGACAGAGTAGATGAAATAGCGCTGACCCACTGACTCAGACCATCAAACATGCGCTTCTAAACTAATAAAATAACAAGTTTCCAATACAGAACAAAAGGAAGAAATTGCTCAGCTAAAGGTAAAGTCTGCTCTCATGATGTTGTGCAACTCTGTCCAAGGTTAAAACACATGAAATACTTTTACAGTGCTATCTGTGTGCCTGACTGTATGCTGGTGAAGCGAATGCTGAGGCGCTTGTCCCCAGCACTTGCACCTTTTGTTGGGGGATCTCATATCAGCTTCAGCCATGATGGATCTTCAGCCAACAGCACCCGTTAAAGGCAAAGAAGATCTGATCTCCAGTTTACAAAGGGAAAAATGAAAGCTCAAAGCATTTAATGAGCTTCACCTTTAACAGCAGGTGCCCACTTTGACACTTAGGTCTCACTGGAAGCTTTCTGACATGTAGTCATCAGCATGCAGGCTGCCAGAACCTGCAACCCCTGGTATTGCGTTCAGCTGCTGAAGCAAAGCAGGCCTCCAAACTGAACCCTTATTGCTTCTTACCTGCCAAGTGAACGTCCATTGCAAACTGCAGGCTGGTGGCTGGGTCGAGGTCGGTCAGTAAGTGCTTGCTTCGGCCCCCACTTTTGGCCTCCACGAAGGTGTTTATCTGTTTTGCTGCCTCGACTGGGTTTGTGAAATCGACGGCTCGGACGTAAAGCTCGTCAGCAGAGGCGACCAGCTCATGCACAAATGACTCGGACAAAGGTGCCCCAGGAGCAGAGAAGAGGTAGAGCATCTTGGAAAAGAGCAACTCCTCATCCCTGTTCTTGACCAAGAAGCTTTCGATAGTCCTCAGGGTTGAAAGGACGTTGTTTCCGTCCACTCTGGAGGTGCAGTTAGGGTCCCCAGAGGGAGGGACAAATCCCAGCAAACCCTGCAAGTCAACTGCTGTCTGGTTTGACGCACCTAGGTAGAAGGACACCAAGGTGCTATAGATACTGGTTGGGGACAGCAGGCGGTTTTGGCCCCTCTGTGCTTCCATTGGCTCCCTGTAAAACCGTGCACCGAGGACATACACTAAGTCATTCAGGTAGCTCAGTTTCTGCCTCCCGTGAATGCCCAAGCTCATGGTTTCCAGCTTGGCTTTGGCATTCAGATCATCTTCATAGGCCGGTGTGGTTTGGGACTCGATCGAGGCAGGGACAAACATTTCCTTTCCTTCCTGGACCAAGTTCTCCATCTCCTTGCAAGTACTCTCGTTAAAAGAGAACAAATTAAACGGGTGGACGTAAACGCGGTCACCAGCCACTGCTATCAGGCACGTGAACAAACAGACAAGATTTGCTGCAAGCTTCATGTTGAAAATCCACTCCCACAGTGTCTGCTTAAAGAAAAGAAGTTTGGTTAGCTTGTTATAAATATTGCTTCTTATACTCTTTTGGGGCAGTAGTAGTGTTGTGTTGAAGTTACAAAGATGAGAATTGCTGTATTTAGTGCTGGTCTGACTCTGCTTCCTGAAAAGTCCGTGGTGAAATGGCCACCAGTTTCAGTGGCAGCACATGGGGAAAAGCAGGTGGGGATTAAATTGCATTAACCACAGGAATACAGTAAAGATTCAGGGCCTGGACACATTACAGTCATGCCCTTGGACCAGTTAGACTTGCTAGATTGTATGAGTCCTGACAAAACGCGTTAATAATGCAGCTATGTGACTCGAGAGCTACCTCTGTGCACTGCTATGCCAAGTCCTGGCGGCACACGGATGGCGTGAGGGGCCTGCCTGTTCTTATGTGGGAAGTGGGCAGGGAAACAATGTGGGAAGTGGACAGGGAAACAAGGTCCAGCCACGGATCCATCCTGCTTTATATGCCTAGGCAGCAAAACTCTTGGCACTAACAAAGCAGGCTGTGTTTTCATAGCTAGGCCAGCACAAGCGCTCATTCTTCCTGCATCACTGAAATGGGTATCTCTAGGCAAACAAAAATCCAGTGTTAAAGGTCTGATGCCTTCCCAGCCCGATTTTTGTTGTACAACCATATTCATTTCACTAAAGGATCTCTAAGTGTTTTATGACTAGTAATACTCTGGTTTGTGGTACCACCACTTTCTTGCAAATAGAAAAAAGAAGAGGTGCAGATGTTTGATAATTAGACATATACCTTGCCAAGCACATACACATGTCAATGTGCACATCTGCATTCCCAGATTGTATGCTCGTGTCTAACAGGATTGTTTGCAAAACAGAATTGTTTGCAAAACAGGATTGTCTGATGCTGTGATGGCCCCTCAAGATGTCTGAACATCTTGCCAGCTAGTACTTGCAGGTTGAACCCTCAATGATTTGCTCTACACAGACCCTGAGGGACAACTTGCTGCAGAGCTCAAGTTCCAATCTTGTATTTTCACCTAAGGTTTGCTCTTCCCCGTTAACTCCTATCCCATCCTCTAAATTAGCACGTAAGCAGCGGCTGTTGCTGCTGTTCATCCACTGCTCTAATTCTCTTTGCCTCACTGCAGCTCATGCACACAGCATGCTCCCAACCCAGGTCCCACAGCTGGGGACGTGTTGCTTGCAACCAGTTAGAATATGATCTTAGGAAGTGTCCTTCCAACTACTTCTTCATACTTCATAGTTAACTCAGCCACTAATCGATGCACTAGCACATTTCCACTCTCCTCTGTGTCCTCCAGACTGGGCCAGGCTCATGAAAAGAAATAAAAAAGCCAGAAACAGGAGGCATTGTCCTTCCCTCCCTGCTCTTCTCTATCATGATTCTGTGTCTCCAAAGCCCTCCTTAATTCTTCCTCTGTTACAGCAGTGGGAAAGACTCTGTGGCATTAGGCTCAGGCAGCGAAACTGCGGCCTGGGGCCTGCCTTCCTGCTGGGACCAGGGCCCCAGCTAACTCCCTTCGCACGAACAGAAGCAGCAAGGGGGACAGTTCTCACGGCCAGCACTGATACGAAGCCAGATTTGTGGAGAGCAAACATGCATTCCCCAAAGGAGCCAGCCTTACGCAAAGTCTGAAATCTTGAGTTGAAAAAATGACATTCAAAGCAAACCCAATAAGCTCACTTACCAGCGTCTGTCCTTGTCAGAATGCCCCCCTCTGGCTTCGGGCAGGCTCCTCTCAGCACCTTTTGCTCCCAGAGGGCTGCGTTGCAATTGCAGGTGGATTTATTCCCTTTCCAAAGGAAGGGCCCCTTCTGAACATCTACAGTGACAGTGCATGAAGCCACTTTGCACCACAAGCTGGGACGCTGAAAGGATCAGGCCAGTTAGGACCTGGTGAAACTTGAGTGTGCTTTCACACTGGATTCACAGAAGAGTACAGATCAATATATATGACCTTTAACCAGATCCAGTAGGTTTGGGTAGTCTGTAGTTACACATTTACGAAAATGGACACAGGCTATTTATTATGCAGAAAAAAAGAATTCTAGTATTGGAAAATAACTTGGCCCTTTTTAAGTCAGAGTCAAAAAATTGCATATTTCCTTGCACCTGCATTTTATTGTACCATTAGATCAGATTTTTCTCTTTTGCGTAAATTGCTTCTAATCTCTAACCCGCAACTTCTGAAGCTATGAGTAAATGGGATATATACTCCCGTGCAAAGTGAAATGATTAAATTTTCACCATTAGCTTTTCTTTCTCCCTTGGCTTATTCAGAAGGTCAAAAATTTGTTGTTGTTGTTTTACCTCTTAAAAACAAAATGTGTTGAAAAGGAGAGGATTAAAGCAGAATGGATTAGGTTGCCAGATCCTGATCCCTGAGCCAAATGATACACAGGGAATTGATCCCTCCTGATCTCATTTTCTCAGATCCTAGGATGCCCAAGTATTATTATTATGCACGAGGAGTGGGTTTCAGAGATCTTTCTGCTGATTTTGAAATGATCCTCCAGTTTTGCCATGCCACTTCTTCCTCCTTAAGCAAAAAAAAAACCCCAGCAAACCAAACAGAGGGTGCCATTTGTGTTTAAGTGGGTCCCGCTTGCTGCCCTCAGTATAGTTAGTAGGTAAAAGCCCCTGGCTCTAACAGGAGTAAGGCTGAACTAATGACGGTGCCTGGATTTTGGGGTGCTCTGGGGCACGGCTGTTCCTGTGGTGCCCAGCCAGGTGCAGGTTGAGCTGCTGTGGTGACTGGAAGAAATGGAAAACTTCTGTCTCTGCAGCCCTGCTTTTCACTTAACCAGCTTGATTACTTTCGTGATAACAAGATCTAAAAGCAGTTCTGAGTATGGGCCCATGCGATGTGCCATTGTGAACACAAGCTCTAAATAAACAGCTTGAAATATTAAAGGCATTTTCTCCTCTTCCTGCCTGCGCATCTCAATCCAAAAAGCATGTGGCAACAGCGCAAACCCCGAGCACTTGTGCAGCCTCCAGATGGCTAGAAAAGGCATATGTCCCTGCCACGGATCTGGGCAAAGCGAGAACGGGGTCCTGCACTGAAAATGCGCTGGGTGAAAGCGCTGCGAGCCGCCCTGCTGTGGGCGCCACTGAGCCGCCCTCACCGCGGTGCCACTCCTGCCGCGGTGCCACAGGAAATGTCCGGCTGGATGTGGCAGTGAGCGAGGAGCTGTGACTGCAGCTTACGCTCGTGTCCTTAGACACCAAACATGCCTGTCGCTTGTGCTTGCTCGATTGACATCCCCCCCGCCATGAAGCAGCATCAGATCTTTGTATTTTGTCTTTCCACGCGCATTCCCTCCACTGCACATGCGTTGCTACACTCGGGAACAGATTTCATCCTAGTGTGAGTTAATTACAGTAATTTTGCTTTTTGCTACCGAGCCATTTTGAAGCTAAAGTGCACAAGCTTCATTTTAATTTCTACATGTGGACATTTTTAGCAAGATTTTTTTATTTCCCCCTCTCTCCCAGTAGAGTTGGTTGCCATGGTTTTAGGCATGAGCATGTGCTCAAAAGTAGATCTTCAACTTCCGAAAGCCCAAAGTCTCTACCCTGCCTTTAGTCAAGGATTCATTCCTCCTAAGGGAACCCGGACAGGAGCCACCATGGCAGGCAAAACAGGGCCGAAATACCCTGAAGCCACTGCAGGAGCTAAAAGCAAGATGTTTCCTACCAGCATTGCTGCCCCAGCAGAGCCCATGGCCCACGTTTGACTCTCATTTTGCACTAGCCACCGACAACGACACACAGAAACACACACACCTCAAACTTGCTTCTCGGGCGAGATGCTCACGCTTGTCTTCTCCCCCGTCTCTCTGACTTCAGGATGGTTTGGGTTTCCCTTTTATATCCACACTTGCATAAGCGGTGCCTCAGGTCCCATCCCCCTGGTGCTGCCCTCATTTCCCTTCAAAACAGGGCTCTGTTTTCCCCGTTTGGTATTCACAGCAGCAGCTTCCCCCTCCAGAGAGGGAGCCAAGAGCATCTGAAAACCCCATCTCAGCTCTGCAGTTACTACTTCTCTCTTGGTCTTAATCCTCGCCTTTGGCTATCAAAGCTAAGTCCGTTTGCCAGCGGGACGTGCTTTCCTGAAGCACGGATGGGGAATCATGGGTGCCCGGGGAGGGTTTCTGGGTGCTGTTGCTGCTGTTACTTTATGTAAACACGACACAAGTAGGCTTCAGAAATATTAACCCTAGCGAAGGAACAGTAATTTCAGAGCTAGTGGTGCATAATTAGATCCTGTATGGGAAAAAGCGTGATTATCTGTTGATGGCAAGCAGGCTTTCCTCTTGCTCCTGAGCGCTGTGTCTCTGCACTGTCAAAAAGTGTCTTCATCGATCCAGATAGTTTTGGGAAAGGTGGTAAAAAATTCAGCACCCTGTGTAGAGACAATATAAATATTTTATTCTGCTTGGTTCCCCAGTCTTCCCAAGTTTTGCTCTGCGATCTGAATTCAAACAGGTCAGGCATTTTACGGTGAGGATGCTTTTGCCTCTTGAGAAGTTGTGCCAGAAGGGCTTCAGGAGGTAACTGCTGTGGATGGATGATAATAAATGACTTCCCTCACTGCTTGAGTCTGCAGGCAATGGTCCTCCAGCAGGCCCCTTAACACAGACATCTGATGAGTTGAATTCTAACCAATGTAGGTTATGAACCTGTGCATGGCCAATACAGACACAGTAGTCTGTACATAGTCATACCTCACCAGTTACTAGATTTGAGGATTTCTTTTTTATAGGACTAAAAGTACCTTCAAGGAGAAGCAGACATGAACAGCCCACTTTTAGCAAACCTGTGGATTTAATTTGGTAATTGTAAACTGCTATTCCCCATCAATATCCATAACTGTTGCCCTACTCTTTTGTTTTGCTCATAGAAGACATCAGATGCAGCACCCAATGGAGAGGACAAGCAAGTACTGGGGAAAGGGTTGCAAAACCAGGAGAAAGAGGGAGCCTGTTTAACTGTGGGCTTGGCACCTTATCAACAGTGCTGTGGTTGCTGCAGCTAGGGCTGGTGGTCACGAAGCCGGAAGGCAGAGCACTCAAGAGACACGCGTGTAAAATGTCCTAGAGCAGCCAAGAACTCAAGCAGACCCAGACTCTCCAGTTTGGAAAAGTGGCCACCGAGATGGGAAGCATAACCATGGAACAATGAGTAGCACAAGGCAGGCAAGCAGGATGTCCTTACTCACTGCTTTTTCATAATGCCAGGATCAGTGAGTACCCAGGAAATTATCAGGCAGGGCACCAACATGCTGTTCTGTGCCCTTTTGCACAGCACATCGAGGAACAATGGAAAAAAAAAAAAGAAAAATTTTCCAAAATTGTTGGTGGACTCTTAATCCGTCACTTTCAATTTCTTTTCTCTTTTACCCAAGATACAGATACTAAACCGGTGGTGCCAGGGCCTGCAATGTGTCTCTTCGTTTACTGCTAGACCTTTGCTCTCTGCTCTCAATTCTGCAGCTCACCAAGTACTCAGTGACTTCTTCAGAGCAGGTGAGTTGGGAAGAGGGGGTACAGAGCTCATGTCATGTCAAGCAGCTTGTAGTCAGTACTAACTCATTTTTTTTCCTCTCCCTTTGAGAACTGTGGCAAGTTGCCCTGGGCCTGATTTTCTTTTGTTTACTTGGGCTATCTTTGGTGGAGAAAGGCTGGGAAAAGTAGTTCTTGTAACTGTTTTAATGTAACTTTGATAAGGAATGGCTTTGTATGTGGTTTTTATTTTTCCCTGTGTTTTCTCTGTACACCCGACTTCTGCCCTTGTTGGCTGGAAAGACTTTTCCCTAAAAGTAGCTGGTGTACAGGAGATATGTAATCAATTCTTGCCCAATTTTTGTGTAAAGAAGATTGCAAAAAAAGCTTTTAAATAATAACATTCAAAGTACAAGTGATGAAAGACAGAGATTATCGGGTAGGTCCACTTCTGCAGCAGGTTCTCACGGTAAGGAGTGACAGTAAAATTTTTAAGGGAGCAGCTACAAAACCCAAGGACCACATGCACCTGGGCTAATCCTAGGGTCAAATTTGCAGAGTGAAACGGAGCCAAAGCCATGGTTTTCCCCTGGAGTTTTCCCCTGGTGTAAATTTACACGACAGATGGCAGCCCACTGCCACCAAGGTGAAGGTGCCTCTGTCCCGTGCTCGGCTCAGCCCTCGTGCTGCTCCCAACTTGGCCAGTGCTGGCTGGGGACTGACTCTGGTGTGTGCCTGGGCTCCACTCCCTGGTCTCGGAAAACACAGAAGATGTGCAGATCCTCGCAGAGGCAGATCCAGGGAGGTCGGGAAGGGGTGCAGTCAGCATCCCGCTTTCCCATGCCTCTGGCACCGTGCGGGCTGTGCTGGTTCTCCCACAGGCAGCAGGGTGGATGGAAGCCAGAGGCTGGACTCCTTTCGTAGAAATGTGTCTGGGCACCCAAACAGCTCTGCTTACAGCACTATGAGGCCTTCCCTTGTGGACAGAAAGGCTCTTTCAGGCAGAGCCCACAGCAGAAGTGCGTGGCCATGCCAGCCGCTCCTGGAGGTATCAGCTCCAGCTTTGTGGTGGATGGTCTGTGATGGACCATGCTGGTCCTAGCCTGGCTGCCAACCTTCCCTGTGAGGAAGAGAGCAGCAGGGGGAACACATGGCGGGAGCAAAGCCATCTCATTTCTTGTTGCTGCTCTTTTCTTTCTTTTCCTTTGATTTGCAGCAGCAGGTAGAGGTTTTAGTCAACATAACCCTGTTGTATAAGATCAGGTACCATCACAGGCACAGTGCTGCAGGGCTCATCCCTGAGGGTGTCAGACAGACAAGAACAAGCTGTGGTGGCTCAAGGAGCACTGGACTTTTAAATAGGAATGAGATAATTCAGCAGACTGAGAGAGAGCCACCCCAAGCACACAAAGACACATTTGCGCCATATCTCTGTGGGC